CAGAAGGTGACACAAACTAGGATAAAATAGGTCAAATCCATAGGAAGGGATGTGTGTTGAGAAAACTTCCACAGTGGTAGCACTGAGACAAATCCATGAAGATGGGGCATGCATCTTGTTTTTGTTATATTTTCAGTCATCAGACTGGCTGGTATAGTGACAGGAAGTCAACGTTCTGTCTATTTTCCAGTAAAGACATCAGTGCAACGATTCAAAGAATGAAGTAATAATCAACCGTAGATACAGGGCTGAAGAGATCCCCAAGTTGTAAAAAGATTATCACGTATTTACTCTGATTCCTTCAAAACTCAATCTTTTCTCTACCGTTCTTTATTGTTCCCCTACAGCTGGAGGTGATTGGGCTGAGAGCCTAAAGACAAACCCAAACAAGGCAAGCTGTTTGGATTAAACACTGTAAGCCCACTGATGGGCATTAAGGAAAAAAAGCACATTAAAGCACTGATGAATACTTAAAAACACGTTAAAACCTCCTTTAAGACCTTATACTTGAACAGGTGCTGGGTTGTGTTTAAGAACAAAGGTTATGCAAATAAGGTACCTCGGATGATCACCTTGGGAAATAACCAAATATGCTGTAGCTCTGCTAAAACAAGAGTTTAGCAAACGCAGCCCACTGGAGATTAATGAGAACGAGGGTAAAAGACAAACATGTATAGTGGCACGACGTAGAGGACTGTTAAAGTACATTGTTGCATTGCACCGCGCATCCATGAGGATTAAATTAAAAACCACCTATAACGAGTTCCCCGGTGGCTGCGACTGAGTGGACACACACCGACAGAGCTACTGGAGCTGCATGCCAGAACAATGCAGGTGATTATATTGAATCCTTCGAGATTATTAATGGTAGCAAAATAAAGGAAAGAGAGAGAAATAAAATGTTGGGGTTGGGGTCCATCTGGACTTTATACAAACTTACATACAATATGATCTGATTCAATATATCTGGGTATCCAAAATGCAGCCTGTGGGCCGTCGGAGTGAATTATGTTCATGTTGAGCAAATTGCTTATTCTTCAGCAGGGTCGAGGGGGCTGGGGCCTAACACGTGGTCATCGGATGAGAATCAAGGGACACCATGGACAGCCCTCCTGTCCATCACAGAGACACAGAAAAAAAAACACTCACACCTAGAGACTATTTCAAAGTCTCCGGTCAACCTAACATGCACGTTTTTAGTCTGTGGGAGGAAGCTGGAGTACCTGGAGAAAACCCAAAAAATGCATAAGAGAACACGCAAATTCCTCACAGAAAGGCTGCAGCTGGGATTTGAACCTGCGACCTTCTGAATGCAAGGCAACAGTGCTACCACAATTCCACCATGCAGCACCTCCTGTCAAACCAGGCTGCATTATTACAGAAAATCAAGGGGTACAGTGACTCATTCTTTTCATATGTGTTAACTTTAAGGTTGAGTAAGTCAAGTAAAAATGTTTAGATGTTTATATTTAAAGTGGCAGTGTGTAGATCCCTGCCAATAGGGGGCAGTATTTACATTCCAGGATAGTTTGACACCATATCGCCGTGACTGTCGCTAGTTTAAAAACATTACGGTAAATGTTGTTACCTGTGGAGCAGAAAGCATGTGACCTCGGCAAGACTCCTCACACTTTGATGATCCTTCCGTTAATTCCATCAAAAGAACATAATTTGACGTAAACAAACAGGAGGAGGAACGTGCTGCACACTTCCATCTCCTCGCCTTCTGATTAGTTAGACATCACATTCAGCAGGCAGCATGTTCATGTGTCATCTAATATCAGACCAAGACAATCCAACATGTCTGAAAGCCCAGATTTATGCTCACAGCAGTCCAGACGTATTCCTGAGCAGACCAGAGCTCTCATAACACACTGCATACAGCAGAATATCTGATAAGATCATTTTCAGATGCATTACAGAAATCATGCAGATCCTTAAGATTGTTGGAAAGGGAGAATCAGGTCAAAGTATCATAGTATGACTGTTAATCTGCATTTTGTCATGTTCATAAACACATAAAAACATAATTCATAAACACAGCCGGCTTTTTAAACCTCCCCAGCTTGTGGTTTCGTTTCCTGGTTAAGTGCAACTCTCATTAGCAGCAGGAGTTAAACAAAAACATCAGTCAGAGATCAGCAAAGAGCATTCATAACACTGACATTTTAAAGTCATCTGTTTATGGTAACATGAAATAGTCTGTGAAATGCATCAATAAACTGTCTCCCTACTCTGTGATCCTCAAGATCTCACAAGTATTCAGTTTAACAACTATTGTAATTAGAGGCTGTTGTCTGCAAATCTTGGCTGTAAAAGATACCCAAAAAACCCACAATCAATCAGACTGAGACTCAAAGCTGAAGTACGCTTACATCTTAAAGCAACACCAGATAGTTTTAACCCTTCAAGCTACTGCTTTCAAACTGGTTTCAGTGGTTCTTGAGCCTGAAACTGTAGCCCTCTGCTGACCAGAAATGACAATAAACAAATTTGATGGTTTGGGGAGGAACACTAGTGGGAGCTATCTATCTGCTTTACAGCTGTAGTAGCTAATGAAAAGGCTAGCAGTTAAAGTTTTCAGTATTAAAGCACAAGAAGACGAAGATGAAGAAGTTTGCCTTTTTTTTCTTGGCACAATGCCGTAGCCTGGATGTAAAAGTAAGAGAGTAATGTCTTTGGAGGCCAAACAAAGTGCTAAAACCAGAGTGTACACTTGTTTGCTTCAGTTTCAAACCATCTAAACAAGTAGAAAGAGAAGTCCTAATTTTTCTCTGTTTCTGAGCTGCTAATAATCATACGTTCATAAAAACGTGGAAAATCCAAACTGTTTCTGATGACATCGTTGTCTGCAAAGCCTGCAGCAGTGTTGTTTACAAACAACGGTTGTAATTCAACTTTCAACCGTTAGGGGAGGGAATCAGGAAAGTTAATTAAACTTAATTAAATGTTACTTTCTTAGTTTTTGCATGCTTAAACTTCCATCCATCAATTTTTAGCTGCTTTTCTGGAGTCGGGTCGCGGGGGCAGCAGCCTAAGCCGAGAGGCCGAGACTTCCCTCTCCCCAGCTACTTGGGCCAGCTCCTCCAGGCGTTCCCTGGCCAGGTGAGAGACATAGTTTATGTTTATTTATATGGCAGACGCTTTTGTCCAAAGCGACATACAATTGTTAACCTATAGGGTATGTTGTGATCTGTGGGGTACCTGGAGGAAACCCATGCATGCATGGGGAGAACATGCAACTCCACACAGAAAGGCCGCAGTTGGGTTTCAAACCTGCAACCTTCTTGCTGTGAGGCAAAAGTGCTAACAACTGCGCCACCACGCAGCCCTAGCCATAGTCTCTCCAGCGTGTCCTGGGTCTTGCCTTGGGTCTCCTCCTGGTTGGACGTGCCCAGAAAACCTCACCAGGGAGGCGTTCAGGAGGCATCCTGACCAGATGTCCGAGCCACCTCAACTGGCTCCTCTCAACATGGAGGAGCAGCGGGTCTACTCTGAGCCCCTCCCAGATGACCAAGCTTCTCACCCCATCTCAGCCGCTTGTATCCGCAATCTCGTTCTTTCAGTCACTACCCAAAAATCGTGACCATAGGTGAGGGTAGGAACGTAGATCGACCAGTAAATCGAGAGCTTAAATAATCACTATTAAATTGAAATAGTATTCTCGCTAATGGTTTTCTCTTTCGTTGGATATTTTTGTCTGGCGCTTGAAGTTGACTGAATTCCTTTCTTATAAAACACTTCTGTTTAAACCCTCATTATACTCTAAACCATTTGTTTTACTTGAGCCGTTAATCCCATTTGATAACCGCTCAGACGGAATAAATATGTGGAAATAGATTTCACAGGTCGGTCATGATGATGAAAGCAGTTTGACTCCACGGGAAGAGAATGTTGATATGTATTCCTACGACCAAGTGTTTCAGAAGGAAATGAGAGGAAAATTGGCTGCAGGAGGGAGCAGACACCTGGGATGAGCGCAGCAGGACCACCCTCTCAGAAACACACAGAGCAAACATCCAAGTCAACTTTAATGTAGAAAAAACTCATCAGTGAGACATTTTAACCATCCAGCTATTTCTAGTCTAATACGATCAAAACGTGCGTGTGTGTGTGTGTGTGTGTGTGTGTGTGTGTGTGTGTGTGTGTGTGTGTGTGTGTGTGTGTGTGTGCGTGTGTGTGTTACACATCATTTTGGCTACCATAGGTGTGATTCCTGTCCAAATAAGTGGTCTGATTTGGCTCTGCAGTGGTAACAGCCTAATGTGGAGGGAAACTAACTTGGCACCCATTTGTGGAATTACCTGAAGCTGAGAGGGTGACAGAGTGACAGTAAATGAATAGAAAACAGTATTCCTCATGACAGACAAAGCATTATAGACGTCAGGGTGAAATCAAGCAGCTGCAACAGCTGCTTGATTAATTAGCTATGAGAAAACAGAAGCATTGCAGGATGAGGTGGTGCCTCTGCTGTGTGCGGTTTGTCTGATGAATGATATCCAAGTGGCCCTGGGCAATAAAGTGCATTTCCCAAGGTCACAATCATCCCATGCAATTTGCTTTGCTCAGTTGCAAGGTAAAAAAAAAATTAAAAAGAGCCAGTGTTGTTTCTACCTGATAGTGGCAAACATTATTATTATTATTATTATTATTATTATTATTATTATTATTAACAATAATAATAATAATAATAATAATAATAATAATAATAATAATAATAATAAATAGTAGCAGTCACATCCTTACAGGATGTTGTGGCCTGATGGGTGTAAATAGAAATCAGCCGACAATGAGCCTGAGGACCACGCTGAGTAAAATCAGAACCATCTCCCAGGAGGACACCAGGTCCAAATGAACCTCAACAAACCCGATAAAAGCAACTCAAGCAGGAAGGAAACAAACAGCAATGCCGTTTTCCTCCAGAGGCCTTTTCCTGATTGTATCTTATATTTGTGAAATTCCATGAAGGGTCGCAGCTGCATCCATCTGCCTCCACCTACCTTACACCCGAACATCAGGGACAGGGTCCGGTTGCTGCAGATGAGCTTGCACTGGCACATGACCGGGGAGAGACACTTTAAATTCCTGACGGGCAAAGACATCAGTCCGGAGCCGCACACCGGAGACAGACAGCACAGAGCACGGCTCGCCGCCGCGAGCTCACAACCACGACACGCTGAGGAGGAGGGGGGCACGGTGAAGCCCGTTAAAAGCCCGAATCTCCCGCTACGACGGGACCGTGCAGGCGGTGTAACTTCATTGCGTTCACACACGTAGTCCGAGCCGTCCTCACATCACTTCCAGTTCCCTTCCTTTCTTTAACCCGCTCAAAGCTTGATTAGCCGTAATGTTGGTACTCAAAGCGCAGCTCAAATCATGAACGAGCGCCACCGTCATTAGACTAAGACCATTAAAAACAATGAGCATACACATAACAACAGTTGTATAAGTACACTAAATAATCAACAAAATAGCAAAGGGAGAATAACGGAAAAACATTTAAAATGTAGTATTTAAGTGTTCCTTCTCACTGCCACGTGTGACGGTGTGGTAGCTGCGCCCCCTGCTGGAACATTAGAGAACTACTTATTCCTAATGAGCTGTCCTTGGTGCTGAAATCTGTGAAAGGTAGAGATCTCTTCTCAGGCGTCCCTCACTGACACACAGACTTTTCTGTCTGTCGTCTACTGTATACGGTAGCAGTTTAAACTGACCTTTGACCCACTTTCCTCTAAAACCCAGAACTTATTCATAACCACAGAAAAAAGCTATTTCATTTGGCCTCTATAATCACTGTGCAACTGTGTTTGATCATACCAATTGGTTCGTAGGCGTGTTGGCTCACTAAGAGGTCACTTATCAAGCAAAACGTGCAAAGTATAACAGATAAAACATATGTTTACATTTCTGTTGAACTTAATCTGGATAGAACAGCTGTTCTGAGTGAGAAAGTGCTTTTAAAGCAGCAGGTAAGTAAACGATAGAACATTATATAACATTTGAACCGTAACTAAGTCTTAAGTCTTTGGGCTTGAAAGTGTTTCTTGTCAGTGCATATTTAATTTGATCATTTTAGGAGAAGGATGTTTTACATGTTAACACTTTTAGCCATTTTATTACAACAAACAAATAAACCATCAGTATTGAATATAAATATATATTAAAGAATCATATGACGAGTTTTCTTAAATTGCATTATTTTACTTATCTGGCATCTGTTTTCTCTTCCTAATTGCTTTTGTGGCTGCTAGACGCAGTACCGCAGCACAAGTGTTTTCATAAAGTTTCTTATCATAAAAAAATGTTTAAATATTTAATTTCAGGACACTAGAAACTGTCAAATGCAGCTGAAATGATTCCCCCCAAAGTATCCTGTAAATCGTACGCCAGAATTCAAGGGATGAGAGCATTCAACAGGGGAGTTCAGGAATCAGATCTTTTATCCCAGCTTCTGTTCAAGAATCCTGTTACATCTTTCCTTTTCCTGTATTTTGTGCTGCTATGGTGAGTCCACAGGGTGGAGTGAGAGAACCAGGTAGGTTAGATTTAAATATTGTGCATTCATCTCAGTGCCGACTGCGGCGCAGAGCTCAGAGCTCCCCAGTGATGTCAGCACTAAATCTAATACAGAGACCAGTCCTACACCAGTGTCCTCCTGATTGTCTCTCCCTAGCTTTTTAAATGCTATCACCCTCCCAGAGTTTCGGGATATCCTGGGAAATCTGCAATGTGGCTTAGGTAGCAGCACATTTAGGAAGCTGCACAGGAAGCGTACTTGTTTTTATCATTGGGTGAAGAAGACTGGGGTTATTTAAAAAACACACACACAAATTTACAGCTCAGACAGAAAACACGCCATTGATCAGAAAATCAATTCCAAGCTCATTTACCAAAGATTAGTAATAAAAAATTTCTGCCTATGCAGCTGTTCAGGTTCCAGATGCAGCACATACCACATTTACAGATAAAATACACGCACACATACTTTTATGCAGATTTAAGTATTGTTGCAATTTACTGTATTTTACTGTGCTTTTCCCTCAAGTAGAGCCTTATGTAAGTGTGGGAGTCACATGGAAACCTGGACTATGGTGTGCTGAGCATAGCATTACCATCCCGATGCTGCATTGTATGAGAGAAAGAGAGACAACCCCAAAAGAGTGTTTCCATGACAACATCTGCAGGAGGTGGCAGATACCTAACAACCAGCACCAGCAGATTTTTGGCCACTGCAAAATTGCAGAGCAGTACAAAAATGTGAAAGCAGGTGTCCCTCATCTGGTGTTTCAACTACAAGTGGCACAAGTGACGTTGGTGAGAAGGTTTTAAGTGTCACTGTGAAAGCAGCACTTTGAGTCCAAAGCTGTGCACTTTACTTCCTTTAGGTAGAGCCAGATGTGTCTTATGGTGAATTATCTGTTTTTTGCTGTATAGCTCCAGCAGCAAGCTGCATGGTGGCACAGCTGGTGCCTCACAGGGAAAAGGTTGCAGGTTTGAATCCCGGCAGCAGCCTTTCAGCATGGGGTTACCATGTTCTTCCCATGCATGCATGCTTTTCTATGGGTACAGGAGTTAGACACCAGCTAGCTGCAGCCCTACTGAGGACAGAGTAGCTTAACATGAGTGAGAGAGAGAGTAATCTGCTGCAGCTCTCAGGTTTTTGAATCCAGGGAGAATTGTTGCATCCCCACACACATTAGTGATGCTAATCTATAGTTTTAAGACTTTTCTAAAGACAGCGTAGTAGGAGTTGTTTTTACCTTTTTTTGCTAACAAGTTTCGGCTAACGTTGTAGCCTTCCTCAGAGCACTGCCGATGTTGGTGCTGTTACTTCAAAAGATGATGCTATTCTAGTTTTCACTCCACATGCTGTCAGAAACATTATGTTGGACTTGTAGCTTTTATAGAAACCATCTCATCTTCCATTTAATTTAATGGGACTTTTACATCTAACATGATTTTACTACAAATCGACGCGTCCTTTCTTGCGTCGGTGTGGCAGCAGATGCAGCAGCACTCAGGGTTTTCTGACAGCACACTGTTACGTTTCACAAAAGATATTCCTGGCTTTGTGTCTTGCAAAATCATCCAGCTGTGCACATTTGGAAATGCCCATATAGACTCATCCCCATCAGTGAAGAGTGGTGGCTATGCATAATGCACAAAGTATGGATAGCAAATTTCAACGTCAACGTACAAAGAATGAAAAATGCATTCCCACTAAATTGTGTTTTCTTGGCTCATATTAAATGTTGAAACTGAGCTGTTGGAGATAACTTTCTGCTCCACCTCGCAAGAGCATCAACCATGCTGTTAAAACGAAAACACCCTGATGATTGTGTTCCTGTGACAAGAAGCAGCCACTGGTCTGGGTCTTGGTAGTCATCCCCTCACCATCACAGATGGGTTGGATTGTGTCTCCACCCACACAGAAGTCAGCAGTAGCACTGAAACAATCCTCTGCCAGCTGTCCTCCATCTCTAACCTGGACCTGCTCACAAATGTGGACAGAAGACAACTTTAAGCTGTTAACCCTAAACAGAAAGTTTGTTTCTAAAACCCAGAATCACTCAGAGCCTCTCTTTGCTCTAAAACATCATCATGTACCTTCTCATCACTCCTAACCCTAAATGAGCTGCAGCAAAGTCACTTCCTACATATTAAAGCATGATTTCAAAGAGAACAAAGCATTTATTGACTGAAATCCTATTTTTGTTGTCTCAGGCTCCTCAGCAGCTATAATTACTTTTTATTTGTTAACACCTCACTGTGTACTCCTCAGTTGTATTATACGCACCATTATCCATTCCCTAATCAATGTCAGAACACAGTAAGTTATATTATATCAACAACCTACGGAAAACAGCGATGCACAGATTAAATATGTATATGTTCCTGCTGAGAAGAGCTTTCTGAACAGCCGTAACGATGAGATCTATTTCTTTAATTCACATCTATGTGTTACAATAATGTGTAAAAATAGACTTTTGACTGCAGGAAGGGTTTCCATAGCTCTGCCAAGCCTTGTCTCCGTTTCTGTAGCAACTGTAGCTTCACTATTCTGTCTCTGTGGTCGCTGCTGGTAGGCTGCAGCTCGGTTCTGGTTTCTCGGTGCTTTGCAAAGAAAAACTGTTGCCTATGAATCTATAATTAGAAAGGAATTTGGCCGTAAGAGATTTAGCATTTTTAAAAATAAAAATAAAGTCAGTAAACGATTCATGCCATTGTCAGTTTAAAGCTCATCAAATAAACCGAATAAATCATGCTGTCTCTTGCACACTTAAAAATACTATGGCAACATGAAATCATACAAAAATCTGCACCATAAGAAACATTTGAGACATTGTTTCAGTCCCTTTTCCCCTTGAGAACACACAGGTGTTTCATTTTGATAAAAAACCACAGAAGAGCCAAATGTGTTTCTATCCCAGGGTTACGATTGGCTCCAGATTGGCAGCTGTTGGACAGCTCAATGCAGAGATCAACACCATCACCGGTCGACCTTCAACAACTCCTGGTTGAGGAATGAGAGCCAGACTCTTGAAGCTAAATACTAGAAGGTCCCAGAAATGTAGGATCTTGACTATTATTATATTTTTAGCATCATTATTAAAGACACTTGTTGTTTGATGCCAAAAACCAGCTCAAAACTCCAAACACAATCACAGAATCAATAAGTCAACATGCATGGATCCCTGTAAGAATCCCTCAGCATGCTGCAGGGTTCAAACTGCCGATCATCTCCACTGCTGATCCACAGCCAACGGGCAGATCTGGCTGGATGCATTCATGCTCTGATCACCTGCAGCCTCCATCATAAGGAGGAAGGAGGAGGAGTTAACTCAAGAGGCACAATCAGGTGTTTTGAAGAAGTCAGAAATATGGTGCTGCAAATTTGTGTTTTCAGTTATTACTCATGGGGGTGTGCAGTAATATTCTGTTTAAACAGACCAAACCTGATCTTAAAGCACCTCCAGTGAGCTGCCCGGCCTGCAGAGACATAACAATACACAATAATTACCAGACTGCTGTAATTACCCACTGAAGTCAGCAAAGTTTGATGTCATATCAGCTATTATCACGGTTGCAGAAAACTGGGAAATAATCACAGAATAAAACAATTACTGTCTTTTTAAATAACACTTTATCATTTATAATTTAAATAAAGGAATCTTCACTTTAATGATTTTTCTTTATGAGTGATTAGAACGGTGCAGTCTGGAAAAGGCGTTAGAAACGGAAACTTCAAATGTAAAAGTCAGCAGCAGCTGCATTTTTAAACGTTCGGCAAGGCAACCATATGATGAGGCCTTCATGTCATTTCTGCAAATAGCACAAGTCTAACATCAATAAATAAATCTGCTAACATGTTTTAATCACAACTTTAAAAACTAGATTGTTTAAAAAACATTAACACATGTTTATTATGAAGTTTAGTTTCATTCTGATCAATTCCAGTTCAAAGGTCAGCATGCTTCACAAAGGTCGGTGACCTCTGGTCTAAATATTAAATATGTTCCCAGCCATACATTTAAAATGAGCACATTTTACCTTCTATTAAATAAATATCTGTTCTGTTTGATCGTTTAGGTGGGAATAAAATTCATAGAGTAAATATCTGTCACATTGAGAGGATGGTTTGGACCCAAAATGCAGTAACCCAGGATGACACGAGGCAGAAGTGGATATGAAGTAAAAATCCTTTTATTTTAGGAGGCTGGGCATAAATCCAAAGGCAAATGCTGGCAAAAAGGCAAAACAGAAGCTCTTTCATGAGCAAGATCAGGAGAACACTCAAGACGGACAAAACAACACTGACAACGACACCTGGACCGACAAGACACATATGGGCCATTCCCATCTGTACCGGGTTGGCCCGGGCCGGGTAGCGTAGGTTGTTTACATATCTGGGTGGCCTGGTATTTTTCCGGGCCAACCAAGGCTCATTCTCAGCCCTCTTCTCGAGGGGGTCTGCTTCAGGCCGACCAGGGCCAACACACCCATTGCTGACAGCAAATTCACACCTTCCATTAGAGCAAGCCTCTGATTGGTGAGTAGAATCAGCCCACATGGGCTTAAGACAAGGATGTGTGGAATCAACCAGGCCAGGCTGGGGCTGACTGGGGCTACCCGGCCCGGGCCGACCCGGTACAGATGGGAATGGCCCAATAGACAAGACGGGGCTTAAATACACTGGGGCATAATGGGAGGCAGATGAGCTGCAGGTGTGTGGAGTGTGGGGGGAGGACCAGGTGAAAGCAATGACTAATCAGGGAAGACCTAAGAGTGAACCTAAAAACACAAAAGCAACAATATAACTAAAATTCTAAAGGGAAGGAGAACTACAAAGACCGGTGGGACAAAACATATTAAAGAGACTAATAAAAATGAAAAGCTGAAACTATAAACACTGCAAAGGGGTGACTGGAGAAGACTAAAAGAACACAGGAGACACATCAATGAGATGCAGACAAAGGACACATGGGGGTGCTATGAAACACAAAAGGAGAACCTGGAGTGGGAACTGGAGGGGCTGGGGAACAAAGGGACACAGAACATGACAATATCAGATCAATGCAATTTTATCAACATTTTCTTAACCAAACCAAAGATCCTAAAACTTATATATTTTTTTTTTACTATTGAAGAAAATATGTTAGCTTATTTTATTTTGATGTCTAAGAAAACTGTTTGTGACCAAATAACCTTTAAGCCTGGGGTTAAAATCAGGACAACTCACAATAAAACAAAAGTAAGAACAAAGCATGACAGGAAGAGCTGCCTGTCAGGTGATAAGGACACCACCAACACAACAAAAACAAGGTTGTCATGACACCAACGAGCTCCATAGGCTAGTGTTGTGAGTGTTTTCTCTCAGAAATGAAATACAGTATGGTTCTATAATATTAGACAAATGTTCCTGAAAGGCATTTTGGACATTAAGCAGATGTAAAACTGATGCTTCATTACATGAACAGCTTGTGTGATCACTGGAGAGCACAGGAAAAAACTCACGTACTTTACATGTTTGTCATATGTAATGCCATTAATAGGCTTATTACCATGGAAACGTTCCGTATTCCCACAGCAAATATGTGCAAAATGTATTACTTCTCACCTGATTTTCACATGGCTTCACATGTTCAACTTTGGGAAGACAAAATACATGCACCCGTTAAGTTTCTCATGTGAAAACAGTCATGTGTCTTTTTATAAGTGCATAAGAAGGGATGAAAGAATCATAACAACCCTATAAATTAGAGGTTAAGAATCAATATTTTTTTTATTGTTGTTAGCGCCCGATTACAGTTTCAGAACAACCCGTCTAAGATTTGACAAAAAAACAAGACACAGCATAACAGAATCAGGCTGAGCTGTGGGCATGCGCTCTCCGTGCTCCCATAGCGAAGGGGTAGCATGAGGAAAGTACGGGGAGGAGGGTCAAAAGGGGATTCCAGAGTTTCCCCAAAAGAGGGTGGCTTTGTTATGCAAAAAACACATCAGACGGCGAGTCAACCAGAGACTCTTTTTCTGTGATCTTCTAACCATAAATGCTTCCTGAGCATTTAGTCCCATCAGCCATGAACTGTGAGATCCCAGTTTGGACCTCCTCCAGTTGCTGTGGCTGATTATGATGGCTTGATGTTAATTTTTCAGTCATTTCTGATGTTTTAGTCAAACTTTATGGGTATCCATTAACATTATGCTCCATTCTCCTCCTCTTCCTGTGTGCTTTAGTTCAAGCTTTCATTAATGTACAAAGCACAAAAATAATAATCATCTCATGTGTTTATTCTGCACCGTTATGATTTATTTTAGTGGGTTTTATTGAACAGTGATACTTTTTTGCATATTTGTACCTTCAGCTACATTTTGCAGACGAGTAAACAAAACTCTAATCTGTCTTTGGATTTTTGAATTGTAGGAGGGAGCAGCTAACTCCCTCGTTTTGCAGCTATAACCAGTAAAAAAAACCAACAAGCTCACAAAGGTTGTCTCACGACCACAACACGACCCAAACTATGAATCCTTCTTCGAGGCTCGTTGGCTAATTCGGACAGAGCTCTGACCTCCACTGTCTCGGATCATCTGAAAAACCTTCAACATTCATTCTGAACAAATCTAACAAGTCAGAGTTAATCTGAGTGATTGCTGCAATGAGCTTCATTTGATAAGAACATCAACAGAGTTCAGTAGAAAAACTAAGATTCTGGACTATTGTCAATTTGGAGCAAAAAAAAACATCCTTTGATATCTTAACTTTACTGTATTTTGTACTGATCGATAAAAATGAGCCTTAATTTGAGTATTTGACACTCATGACCCTACAAAATCTAAAGAAACTAATTCAAATGAGCTTTTTAGTTGCTCATCGCGTGCACGCGCGCGCACACACACACAGGCTAAAATGCCTTCTAATTAGAGCTGAAGGACCCTGGATCGGTGTCTCTGTGCTTCATTTTAATTAACATCCACAATTTCTACTTTATACAACACGCTAACACTTTAGATTTCTTATTTCTTAAATGTAAGTCGACTCTGCATCGCTAAACTTCACGTTGATCTCTTGAAACAACAGGTGTGCTGTTCACCGACATCCTAAGGAGAAGCTGCACTTTGAGGACAGGAACGTGCTTATTTAGGTGAGACAGGAGTAAACAAATTCACCTTATTCTACAGTCGTGGCCAAAAGTTATGAGAATGACACACATATGGGAAATTGGAAAAGTTGCTGCTTAAGCTTTAATAATATCAATTTGCATACACTCCAGAATGCTATGAAGTGATCAGATGAATTGCACAGTCCTTCTTTGCCATGGAAATGAACTTAATCCCCAAAAAACTGTCCACTGTATTTTATTGTTGTCATTAAAGGACCTGCTGAGATCTACTCAGTGATCGTCTTGTTTACTCAGGTGGGAATGATGACGAGCACAAGGCTGGAGATCATGTGTCGGCTGATTGGGTTAGAATGGCAGACGTGACGTGTTAAAAGGAGGTTGATGCTTGAAATCATTGTTCTTCCATTGTTAACCATGGTGACCTGCAAAGAATCGCGTGCAGCCATCGTTGCTTTGCATCAAAATGGCTTCACAGGCAAGGATGTTGTGGCCACTAAGATTGCACCTAAATCAACATTTTATAGGATCATCAAGAACTTCAAAGAAAGAGGTTCAATTCTTGTTAAGAAGGCTTCAGGGCGTCCAAGATAGTCCAGCAGGCGCCAGGATCGTCTCCTAACGAGGATTCAGCTGCGGGATCGGAGTGTCACCAGTGCAGAGCTTGCTCAGGAATGGCAGCAGGCAGGTGTGAGCACATCTGCACGCACAGTGAGGCGAAGACTTTTGGAAGATGGCCTGGTTTCAAGAAGGGCAGCAAAGAAGCCACTTTTCTCCAAAAAAAACATCAGGGACAGATTGATCTTCTGCAAAAAGTATGGTGAATGGACTGCTGAGGACTGGGGCAAAGTCTCGGATGAAGCCCCTTTCCAATTGTTTGGGGCATCTGGAAAAAAAGCTTGTCCGGAGAAGAAAAGGTGACAGCTACCACCAGTCCTGTGTCATGCCAACAGTAAAGCATCCTGAGACCATTCATTCATGTGTGGGGTTGCTTCTCATTCAAGGGAGTAGTTTCACTCACAATTTAGCCCAAAAACACAGCCACGAATAAAGAATGGTACCAAAACACCCTCCGACAGCAACTTCTTCCAACAATCCAACAGCAGTTTGGTGAACAATGCATTTTCCAGCACGATGGAGCACCGTGGCATAACGTGATTACTCAGTGGCTCGGGGGCCAAAACGTTGAAATTTTGGGTCCATGGCCCGGAAACTTCCCAGATCTGATCGCATGGAGAAGTTACGGTCAATCCTCAAGAGGTGGGTGGACAAACAAAAACCCACTAAATCTGACAAAGTCCAAGAAGTGATGATGAAAGAATGGGTTGCTATCAGTCAGGCTTTGGCCCAGAAGTTGATTGAGAGCATGCCCAGTCGAACTGCAGAAGTCCTGAAAAAGAAGGGCCAACACTCCAAATACTGACTCTTTGCATCAATGTCATGTAGTTGTTGATAAAAGCCTTTGA